CAGGTTTTGAGGTCTATGGAGATGGAGAAGAAGAAGAAGAAGAAGAAGAGAGAGTTTATAAGTGGAGGGATTTGTTATATAGTGAAGGGAGGGAAAACAGAGCACATCGTTGCTTTATGTCATATTTTCAAATGTGTTATCATACCTCTTTTTTTTTTTTTTTTTTTTTTTTTTTTTTTTTTTTTTTTTTTTCTTTTTTTTTTTANTAATTATTTTTATAAAAAATAATACCGTGTATTGTTGATAATGATGTTCATTTAACCGTACCTACCTACACCGCTGCTTCTAAACAGGGTGAAAATTACTCGTTTAAATGAAAAATGAGAGAGGGAGTGAAGAATATTTTCATCATTAGCTAAACCGGAACCGAACTAGAGATGAAGACTATATAGACACCCGCTCACTTTTTATAGATTAGAGATATCAACGAGTAGGGCGAGAAGGAGAGAGTCTTCCCTGTTCCCTTCTCGGTCTCCCCCTCCTATTTCAATATCAATTATCGTAAAATTTTTCATTTATTTTTTTTACGAAGAAACTCAATATAATAGATTTAAAAAAAAAAAAAATTATTATATTATTTTGTAATTATTATTTTTAAATATTAAATTAAAAATATATATATATTTTTAAAGTGAAGGTATCCAATGAAAATTTATTAAATTTTTATTTGGTAAGGCACTATGGACGGTTTGGCAGGTAGCAAAAAAATGTGATTGGTTAAAATATTTATTTAATGCTCAAAATTAAATATAAAAAATTCAGAAATTGATTATTAAAATAAAATATTAAATTAAAAGCCTATTATTTCAATATTATTATTTTATTCCCAAGATAGCCTTTAGATTCATGGCAAGATTCGTCCACGATCCTTTAGAATCTATTTGAGTGTTTGAACAATTTTATTTTATTTTAATTTATAAATATTATATTGAGTTAATATTTATTATTAATTTTATTAAATTCGTTTAACATAGAATAATTTAGCTACTATTGTGACCCGTGGCCTACCGAGAGTTGCAAGGCTTAAATGAAATCATATACAAATAACTTGCATTATTCTTTAGGTCGGTATCGTTGAACTATCTAAACTAGTCACATTAAGAGTATTCATATAATTCGAGAATTCAACTCATCCGGATTAATATAATAGACGAGGAATTATAATTTTTTAAATAATAAAAAAAAATAACAACCCGACACACAACTGAACTCAGCTAAAAAATTTCGAGTGGGTCCTAAGGATCTCCTCAACCCAACTCGACCCATGTACACTCTTAAGTCACACACTATAGTGCATGGAAATGAATTTTGTAAACTTCACACCCATGTCGTGATCGTCTTGTTGATAATTAGATTTGCAGTTTCGTGTTACGTCCTCTCCAATTAGATTGCACAAACAAAAGCTTCAACAATTATGGGAAACGAATTCAAATAAACTATCATTGATTCAACTCCAAAAAAAGGATTTAGTTTACAAAGATGATTGAGCAACCATGAGTGTTCATTATAATTTTTTTCTTTTTAGTATCACAAAGCTGGGATCATTCAACTTAGAAAACCCACCAAATTCGATGAATTAGATGATTTTTCTTGTTAAATACTGAAAGCTTTTAGGGATGGAAAATTTTGGGCCTCACCAAAATGTAAGGTTAAGATTCATTCAACTTCATTTCCTCCTCCCCCTCACCTCTTCCAGCCTCCCGCCATTACCCAAGAACACTCTACGATTTATAATCTCCAAATTCCTTCGAAACCCATTTCAAATCTCTGGCTGTAAATCCAGTGGTTCGATCTTGTTTTTCGAATCGATTCACTACGAGGGGTCGAATTTGATTGTAAAACGATGGTGAGAGGTTTATCTGTTGTGGGTTCATCGGTGGTGGACTCGCATACTTCCCCTTGTTTGTGTTTGGATATTCTGCCCACAACGAGTATCAATCTCAAAAGTAGTGGGGATTTTGTTATGAAAAAGCATTCAATGGGTCGAAAGCGTTTGCCCAAACCAAAGCACTTGGATCTAAGCAGCTCGTTCGTCGATGCTGGACGGGAATGGCTGCTCTCGGCGGATATGATAAACAGGAGTTCAAGGAAGCAGCACAAGAACAGAAGACTTGTGGTGATTGATGAACTTGGAGGGCAGTATGAAGATACCTTTGATGATGTTAAAATGGTAAGAAATGTGAATTTGAAAAGGATCGTTCATCTGTTTACTGAAAGAGAGATAGGGTTATGAGCATGTTTTGATAGTTTCTTGAGGAGTGAAATGTATGTAGCTAAATGAACGTTTTAACTCTGATTCAAATGTGATTTGAGTGCTTGGTTCTTGCTTCCTGCACAAAATCTTGCAGTTTGTGAAGGATTTGGAGTATTTTTGATGTTGATAAGACATATTTTTGGGTACTTTTGGAGATTATGGTTCTTGGAAGGCTTCATTTTTGGTTCAAAATGATTTGGTTATGCCAAAAAGTCTTGGAAATTCATGTTTCTTTCTAGTTCCTTGATTCTTACTATGTCTATAAACATTAATGATATAGGACAACGCAATGATTCATGTCCTAAGATGTTCATGGTGGCTCTATGCATAGAAAAATTATGGGAAATTGTGAATATCCTCTCTTCCAAAGGATAATGTGAAGATTTGAAGATTTTCTTGTGAGATCCTAGATTGGTTGGAGAGGGGAACGAGGGGAACAAAGCATTTCTTATAAGATGTGAAAACCTCTCCCTAGTGGATGCGGTTTAAAACCTGGAGGGGAAGCCCGGAAGGGAAACCCAAAGAAGACAATATCTGCTAGCGGTAGGCTTGGGCTGTTACAAATGGTATCAGAGCTAGATATCGAGCAATGTGCCAGCGAGGACTTTGGGCCCCTAAGGGGGTGGATTGTGAGACCTCACATTTGTTGGAGATGGGAACGAAGTATTTCTTGTAAGATGTGGAAACCTCTCCCTGGTGGACGCGTTTTAAAACCTTGAAGGGAAACCCGGAAGGGAAGGCCCAAAGAGGACAATATCTGCTAGCGGTGGGCTTGGGCTGTTACAAATGGTATTAGAGCCAGATACCGAGTAGTGTGCCAATGAGGACTCTGGGCCCCCAAGGGGGTGGATTGTGAGACCTCAGATTTGTTGGAGACTGAAACGAAGCATTCCTTATAAGATGTGGAAACCTCTCCTTAGTGGACGCATTTTAAAATCTTGAGGGGAAGCCCAAAAGGGAAAGACCAAAGAGGACGATATCTGCTAACAGTAGGTTTGGGCTATTACAAATGGTATCAGAGCTAGACATCGAGCGATGTGCCAACGAGGACACGGGCTCCCAAGGGGGTAGATTGTGAGACCTCACATTGGTTAGAGAGAGGAACGAAGCATTCTTTATAAGATGTGGAAACCTCTTCCCTAGTGGAAGCGTTTGAGGGAAAGTCCGGAAGAAAAAGCTCAAAAAAGACAATATCTAATAGCGATGGGCTTAGTTGTTACATTGTTAGTGAGTCAAGGGAGTTTGGCGTTAATGCTAATACAGTAAAGGGATAATGTAGTCTGGAGTTACAGTAAAGGGATAATGTAGTCTGGAGTAACAGCTTTAGTACATTCACATAGCAACTCTATCAAGGACTTACTATTATGATAGCTTTTAGTACACCTGCTACCCTTTTGACTGCCCAACAACCAATATAGATTCAAGGTAAGGAATAGCATGTCACACTGGAATCACTACGATCTATAGATTCCCATCGATAGACAATCCCAACCAAAATAGAAACAAGTGGTTTCCGATTTTGCTTGTAGTCGTCGTCTTTTAGCTTATGTAGTGGTCGACCTTCACTTTCTACATGCACGCGCCCACCAAAATACCTCATTGGTTCTGCATAAAGTCAAGCCAACACATACAATGGGCGAAGTAATGACCCCCATTTCATAGCACCTAGGAAACGCAAGTTTAATTGAGGATTGAAGGGAAAGGTGGAAAAAAAAAGGCTTGAGATGGATTTATGAGTCAATACGGTCATAACCACACTTGTCACTCGAAAGCCAGCAGGTAGATACACATAAAATACAAAGAGGAACCTGAAAATTTTCTTGTTTTATCCAGTTTCTTGAGCTTTATCTTTCTCCTTCTCCCACCCTTTGAATTGACTGAGACTTCTATGGCTGCAGCAAATACTTAATTATTTTACATACAAAGCTGTGAGGACTGTTATGAACCAACTGTATGAAATGAACCCTCCTACTTACAGGTGGCTTTATGAGTAAGTGCTATCTCCATGTCTTCTGGTTTAGTCATATTTCAAGCTGAATTCGAGTTTAGTTCAAAACTTCGAAAACGATTCTGACCTTTTGCTTAAATGTTCGAGTTTAGCTGTGAAATTATTTGATGTTAGTATGGTCGTGCCCTTTAATTTTGATCCAAGTTTTTGTTCTTTCAACAGTTTCGTCTTATCTAACAAGCCATCAGATGGAAAACATTTCATTCGCACACTTGTAAAGGTACTTAAATCTACACCTATTTCAAGACTTGGATAGTGTTTAGTAGTGTGGAGAAGCAAAACCTGCATTACTCTATGCTTAGAACATGCTTTCACTGTTGGTTTAAGACTCGGCTTGTTCTAAAGATCTCATGTTGAACATGGCTTTACTTTTGAGCTTTTGGCTAGGTTTAGTTGTGAGATCCCATGTCGGTTGGAGAGAAGAACGAAACGTTCTTTATAAGGGTGTGGAAACCTCTCCCTAGTAGACGTGTTTTAAAACGTGAGGCCGACAACGATATGTAACGGGCCAAAATATATAATATCTGTTAGCAGTGGGCTTGGGCTGTTACAAATAGTATCAGAGCTAGACACCAGGCAGTGTGCCAACGAAGACGCTGGGCTCTCAAGGGGGTAGATTGTGAGATCTCACATCGGTTGGAGAGGAGAACGAAACATTTCTTATAAAGCTCGATACGAGTTACCGATATGAGAACTTCTATACCAATAGAGTTTTCAAAGGAACAATACTACCACTAATAAACCTGAAGAGCACAATGTATCTTAACATTATCAAGTAATACACTTAGAACATTTGCTGACAAATTAAAAGTGGGGAAAATAGCTAAAGTCGTTCGAATACAAAAATATAAGGTCATTCACAGTATCTCGAGCCAAGCCTAAAGGTTGTCGCTGCATCTGAATCATTGAGTTCCTAATTGACAGGAAAGACAGGATCTTGCTGAAAGAGTAATGATCACACGTCTACATCTGTATGGCAAATGGGTGAAGGTATTACTATTGTTGTAATATTCCTTTGTGGGAAGACCATCATTTATATGGATGAAAACTATAAGTTTGCAAACAATTATTTCTTCTATGGTGTAGAAATGTAACCATGCTGAAATATACCAAGAGATCTCGAACGAAAATGTGGAATTGATGCGTGAACGCCTTATGGAGACTGTTATATGGCCTTCTGATGACACCAACACAGAGAAGATTGGCTAAAGAACATGTGTAGGTTCGAGTTCTCTCTCCCTTGTTGATCCTTCATGATGCAGTCGTTTTTTTTTGTTGAAGATGTGTATGCAGTCAGTCATTGTATTGTGTAAGATGTGTAGATATTTAGCCTCCATTTTAGTTGTTCTGAAGATAAAATGTAGAGCTGGGGTTTTCTCATAACGAATGCTTCTATTTCTATTACATGCATATCTTGGATGAGAGTGAGCCAGAATGAGCTAATAATGTGCAATTTACTTGTTCTTTCTTGATTTTTCCCACTCCTGGTTCTGTTTGTTTGCACAACCTGTAGTCAGAGGATCTTAAAAAACGAGCAACCATTGGATTGATTGTTTTGAATCGGCTACGCTCGAGGCATCTCAATGGTGAGTTAAGCATGATACTGATACAACATAACTTTTCTCGAGTTAGTAACGACAGGGCAAAACGAACAGATTATTCAAGCAAGAGATAGAAAACAGATCATGAGTAAAATGTTCTTGAGCTTGACCAGTAATAAGTAAAATGTAATGGTTTTCAGCTCTTAATGATCAAAGGAAACCTTGTCACTTTGTGTACATATGCCATGGAGATCAATTCAACTGTTAAATGTACTATGAACCTACGGCTTTGCATCTTTGTACACTTCGTAAAACAGGTTGGAATGCAAGCAATCTGGTTTTGACTGAAGCGCATCCCTTCCTCCTGGATCACAGAATAATGATGATTCTGCTGCTAAAAACCACATACATTAGGGATAAATATGGATCTACACCACGTAGACACTCCAAAGCTTTGCTCAATTTAAACACCTGTTCTAAAATACCAATTATAAACCTCAGCACAAAAGACTGATTCATGTGATTCTCTCAATTTGTTTATATAAAATGGTATTGATAGAACATATATCATATTGATCAACTATGTTCAAATGCACACTAATTAAATAGGACACAACAAGATTAGGAGGAAATAAAGTATAGTGGTGGATTTGGAGCATGGCATAGCAGCAATACTTGGAAGTTTGTATCTGTTTGAAGGAAAGAAGACATCTGCATGAATTGAATTACTCTCCTTGGATGCTTGAATAATATAAACCATCCTTGAAAAGGTACAACTTAGCCAAACTATCATTCATTTAGGTTTCGTTGTTTTTCCTTAACAAAGCTTAAGGTTATATTTCTCTGAAAAAAGAAAGTTTCTGGGTCTTGGTGAACGTTGGAGCAAGGTATGAAAGCGACAATTTGTAGCCTATATAGGAAACCCTTCGAGCAGAACAGTAATAACAGTGAAATTGTTTATAGGCAATATTTACGAGTCTTATATTATGCCTTCAAGCCAAACTAACCATATGATCATTTGAGAGATACCAAAAGAAGAAAAGAAGAATTTAGGAGAGATCAAAATTCCCACCAATAGAGGCTGGAATGCATCCAAAAATTAAGATTTTTATGGGTAACCTGTAAGGTCAAGAGCCGCCCGTGGAATATACTGCAAGGCGCAAAAAGCTTTCATGTCCTGCAAAAGGCAATCATGAGCAGAAGCAGAAATTTGGTAGGTTAGAGCTCATATTTTGGTTATATTATATTATTTCAAAAGTAGATTATCGTGACGTCTTCTAAATAAAAAAAATAAGTAGCATTTAGTTCAATTGGACTTTTGGGAAAGGAAAAAACAGAAGTAAACTAATAAGATTCAAACATACCAAATGGATCAAAGCCGCCAACAAAAAGCTCAATAATATCCAACAAAAATAGTGGATCAAAAACAAAACTGCAAGCAGCGCTCTTCTTTTCTTGGGTTTTGATGATGGGAAAATTTACAATGTAATACCATCACCAAAAGCTATTAGCTGTCCAAGAACGGTTCTCACACGGAACTGCAAAGGAGAAAATACAGGGTATTAGGGTAATACATAAAGGGGAAGGGGGGAGGAGGAGAAAGCGGGATTTAAATGGTAAACATCACCTTTACATCCAGGCACGGATCATTGGCCATATTCTTAATTTGAGAAACAATACCAGCATTCCGTAGCTTCGTAACCCGACCTAGAGCATACGTACTTGAAGGCGAAGTAAGATTAATTATTGCCCAGACAGCAGCAATTCGAAGCTGACTGTTGTCACTCTGCAAAAACTTGATCACGAATGACTGGACCACTTCATCTCCTTGTGGAAATAGTTGCTTCATGACCCCTTCCTTATGAAGCTCATTTCCACTAGCAACATTGCAAAGTACATACATTCCCTGCATCAGTCAAAATTAAAAAATTACTCAACTAAATGAAGCTTATCATCTTCTGCTTTAACCCCTCATTCTGATGTTGTTTACTTAATAGTTAACGGATATTTTACGGAGTCCTATAAGATTCCTGAAGTATCATGGCTCACAATTTCAAAGTCCTTATCAATGTGTACATACACTCATGCCAAGTACCATGAGCTAATATTAGAGTCCTTCAGTACCGTTTTGAAATGAATCGCCTGAAACTTATTTGTCAATTAGGCAGACAACATGGACATTATCCATGAGAGAGAGAGAGAGGGAAGGGGGATAGGAAACGAGGAACTTTTATCAACAAGGAAGTGAGAAGAATAGCCTAAGGGCCAGAGAGAGAAAACCCCCTCCCACAAAACTTCATCAAGACAGCATTGGGGTTGAAGCACCACCACGAAGAGGTAAGTTGTATATTGCTACAAAAGTACTCTATATTGACTTCCTTATCTACAAAAAAATCATGGTTTCTTTAAAATACATTTAAGCATTTTAGTCAGAACAAGCACCTCCGGCACTTCAGCTGAGTAATCTTTTTCCTATGAAAGAAATCTACTACCATCTTTCTCAGTTTTCCCATCAATATTAGATCCCTTAAGAAATTTCAGATTATTCCTTCCATATTTAGTGTCGGTTTTCTAGATAAGAGTAAGGTAGACATGTAAAAAATAGGAACTCTAGGCAAATGCAACTAAAACCAAGTGGGGAAGGGTATTGAAACTTGTACAGAAAGGAGAGAGTTCTTCATTTCGCAAGTTTTCCAAAGGACATTTGCTCAACCAATTTCCAGAATTTAGAAAATTTTGGGTATCCATCTACAACCAAGTAAGATAAAGGCCACATGCTTACAACACAAGTAAAGATGTCGTTTCCCTCGTCCTTTCTTCACTTGAAGTCATACTTTCCACTTTTGACCGAATTTTTCCATCATAACTGTGCTTGCTCCTTTTTAAGAGAAAAAGAAAATAATTTTATTGGTGAATGATATTATACATGAAAGGAAAAGTCTCACAGAATCCCAGAGAATCGTTTAAAGGTCCTTGTGACCTTGAAAATAGAAATATCTCTCTAGTTTGTCACTCTAGGTAAATTAGTAATGCAGATTGTCAGCCTGTCATGAGATCTTCCAGGAGGGAGAACATAAATTCTGTAGCATTTTAATCAACTAGGGTGTCTATTTTGGTAAGGTAACATAGTTACTGTATGTTCATCATGGCTGTTATTAGCCATTATTAAGCTGAGCTCAGAGTTGCCTCGTTACTATTGATAACTAATACCACTTTGTAAAATGAGGCTCTTTTTTCGACATAGACTGCCTCATAATCATTCTTAGCTTTTTCCTCTCCCAAAAAAAATACATACCTTTTGAGTATACATCACATTCAAAAGTCAAAAACAAAAGAAAACTAACCTGCACTCCAATTTCGTCTCTTGAAGTACTTTGCAATTGCCGGCCAATAGTGTCCAATATGATGCCATCTTCAGCAAACACATACTCAATTGAGTCCTCACATCCATCAATAAGATTGCGCACAAAGGCCATAGCATGCTCCTGAACGGAAGGCTCAGGATCTGAAACATAAACATACGCAGCAATATTGATTATATAAAAAATAAAATCAACCATCAGAACGGACAAACAGACTTAAACAATACCACAGACAAGGCTGGCTAACAATGAAGCTGTTAACTCCACAAAGATCCCTGCTTTACACATGTTGTTTGCAAAGAATATTAAATTCCTTAAAGCCCGCAACGCATTCAGCCTTATGTCCAAGTCCATAGACTTTGATAATCGAACCAGCTCTTTCACACCTCCACATTCAATAAATATTGATCTCTTTGTTGAAAAGTCGACAACTATGTTGCTAATAGCACCAAGTGCTGCAACCTGGTCAAGGAGTATGAAATGATAATTATTGCGCAAGACCTACTGGACAGTTTTCCAAACAAACCCTTTCTATCTGAACATTCAATGTCTTAAAAAGTAGGATGATTCCCACTATATAGAAACTTAAGTAAGATAAATAGGCATACCTGAACAGTATTAGAAGGATCATGTAAAAGCTGAACTAAGGGAAAGACAACTGCTTCGTTCATAAAGTAACCAGCACTCAAATTCTGAATAGGGTGCCATTAAAAAGCAAGGTTAAGGAAAAAGACGGTGTATGAATATCAGAATAGCTAATGTTAATATAACATTACATACCTTGATTGATCGAGAGACACTTCTCAAGCAAGTGCAAGCTGCGGTTCGTATGTCACTACTTTCATGTTTTAGGGCATTGATCACTATGTTCATTACCTAGGTCATGATTATAAACAAATAAATAAAATTCATAAACATTACCAAGTTCAATTCAAATAAATTTCAGATTTGTTAACCTCCATCAGTTGGCAGCTTAGTTAAATAATCAAAAGGTAAAATAAAGAAGAAGAAAAAATTGAGCACCGACTACAATTATTATACTTCCACAAATATGTTGCTTCGGCTTCCTTCTTTTCTTTTCCGTTTCCATTTTATTTTTAATCTTTGATTCAATTGGAACAGACCAGTTGATATAATTTAACTTTTTTTCCCTTGAAAAGTTTGGATGACATGAAATCAGATAACAGAGACAGCTTTGCTAAACAAATATCTTTATTGTAGGAAACCGAACAAAGATTTTTATTATAGAAAACCAAACAAAGATTTTATTAAAAAAAAAAAAAAAAACCTTTGTAATAAGGATCACTTGCAACTTAGGGCAGAAATAACCACTGGCAAATATTCAAATCGACAAGCAAACAATTTTAGATATCAATTAACTTAGGTACCACTGGACTACAAAACTGCACAAGTTAAATACATCGTAATTGATAAATGTTACAAAAAAAAACCAAAAAAGGTGACTTAATAAGTTAATGCAATCAAGATAAGAAACAAACCTGCAATGAGAGAAACCTAGACCTACAGCTCTCCAACTTTGAGCACAGATGAGAAAAAGCCAGCAATATTCCTTGTAAGCGTCTAGGACTTAACTGATCCTTTTGCAAGTGATTGTAAAACTTATCAATTGCATTTGCCTCAAAAGCAAGTTTCTGTAGCTCCTCCTTCTCAGCAAGTAAAGTCGAAAAAATGAAGGAAGCTTCATCTCCAACTTGACCTGGATTGTCGAGAAGCTCGAGCAAACTAAGTATCAATTTCATTTTTATTCCTATATCTTGCAGATAACAAGGTGACGAATTCCTTATAACAATCAAGCATACACAGGCTAGCAATCTTGTCTTGGGACTTCTATCCTTCATCAATTCAATTATGTATCTCAAAGAATCTTCTCTGCCAGGTTGCATGAACTTTTCTATGGCCTCAACATTATTCTTAAATATTGTAGCAATAGACTCTAAACTAGCATCCCTTTGACTTAGAGATCCATCAAGAAGGCCAATAAGCTTCTCTAGAACTCCACCATGAAACAATGCCTTCTGCTCTGCAATTGTCTCACAGGAGTGAACGATGATACTTGCCCCAAGTCCAGTCACATTTTCATTTTGACTATTCAATAATGAAAGAAGAAATTTGGCGTTTTCCTGCTGAAGGAAATCATACTTAGGAGCCAACTTTGATTGATAAATCATTCTTAGCGAGCGAGCTCCCGCATCAACAACCTTAAAAAAAAAAAAAAAAGAACAAATTTCACATTATGATGGAAATTTGAGTTTAATTGCAAATAAAATCTAAAGAAGACAGCCACAAAGGTTTTTATTATAAACACAACAAATTCTTGTAAAACATTAAGGAATGGTGTATGAAAAGAAAGGTTGAATTGGACATAAGGTCCATTACAATTACTCTCAATCAACAAGACAAATTGTCTTATTTAAGGACTTTACAAGTGGTGCCAGTATCATTTTAGAAGACTATTAAATCCAATAAGAATTTGGAAGGAACAACTCCAATTTTGCTTAAACTTTTTTCCCTCCAAAAGATTAGCATCTACCCTCAGCTCCTGGAAGTGTTTTTTGACTGATTGGTAGTGTTGTATATTGATAGCTCTATGTTGATGACAGGATTCTGAGGTGGCAAAGCTGAAGTATACCTGGTGATATGCTGTAATTGACCCATTTCTGACAAGGGTTATGAATCAGCTCAACTTAAGGCGGAGCTGATGAAGTTATATGTCATGCGGGATGTGCTGCTACACAGCAAAATTCTGTTATCCCTACAGCTGGAGCATGTGTTTAGCACGGCAGCGAGTATCTGTACCTGATTGATTTAATTGTTTTCAGAGAGTGAAAAATAGGTCCTTGTCTTCGTTTTTTTTTATTGAGAGTGGGCTGAGTATTTTTCTCTTTACTGAAGAGAGATTTCTCTGAGAGTGTGAGTCCTTCGTGTAGTGATTTATATAGGGTTCATGGGAAGCACTCTGCTATGTTCGAGTTATTGGAGTAGTGAAGAAGACGACTGCAATCTCACTGTATCGTTCAAGAGCTACATCTGGCTTGATATAATCTAATGGAAGTGCCTAAGTGGATGTAGATCAATATTTGGATCAAACCACTATAAATCGGTTGTTTCTATCTTATTCTTCAAATTTCCTCTTTGTTCATTGTTGATAAAATGTGCATGTTGCTCAACTTGTTCTTGTTGACAATAGCTGTTTGTTTTCTGATTAGTTACATAACCGAATATCAAAAGGTAGTTCTAAAAGAGTATTTAAGGAATCTGCTAACCAAGCCAAAAAAGATTAGAAAGAGGGGTTGCCTTCCCACAATCGAAAAGTCTAGCTTTGCTACCTTTAAAAACTAGTCCAGTTCCACGGAGATCTTCTTTTTCATTTGAACCGAACATTTCTTGTAGTTCGAAGAGGCCATAATAGAGAAGATTAGAGAAATGGTCGACGCCACAGAAATGGAACTTAAAATTAAGTTATGAAATTGATGCTTTAATCAACTAAATAAGATACAATCCAAGCCTTTGTAACTTAAAATTAGGCGCAGAAATGCAAATTGCAATTGCCCAACACCAGATACTCCTCAATTTCCCCAGAAATGCAATTCCCAAATTGGATTAAAATCGATAGAAAAGAAAAAAAAAAACAAGAGAAAAGTCGAGGAGAGGGACACCTTGGGATCGGGATCGGAAAGCAATCGAAGCAATCGAGGGAAGGCTCCAGCATCGAGAACGGCGGAAACACCAACATCGACGCCGCAGGAAAAGCTGCCAAGAACAGCAGCGGACTGGACAAGAATGTTGGGGTCGGAAGTGGAGGAGAGAACGGCAGCAACATGGGGGACAACGCCGAGCTTGATGAAGGACAGCTTCTTGGTGCGGTTTCCAATGATCTGATTCTTGATGTCTCTCAAGGCCTTCAGCTTGACGGCGGCGTCGGCGGCCGTCAACCGAGCGACGAGCTCGGAGGAAGGCTTGGGAGTCGCAGAAGAAGCTGAGGTTGGCATCGTCCCAGTCCAGAGAGAGCTACTGGGATGGGAAATGGCGCCGAGGCCACAGCAGAGAGAACCCCTCGGAGCTTTGAGAGCAACAAGGCAAACCTCCAATGGAGTTTTGATGGGAAAAGGAATTTCCTTTTTTTCTTTTCTTTTTTTAATTATTTAAATCTTCTAATAATTTAATGGTGCAAAAACTAAATAAATCTCAATCCTTATAATTATATATATATATATAATGGTATTTTTATTCTTCAATTTTATTTTTTAAAACATGTCTTAAATGGTCGTAAGTAAACATCAGTCGTTAATTCGAAAACGATGTGACACAATGAGATATCTATTTTATATGACGTGAAAACTTTTCCCTTCTCCTTTCTTCCTCGTGTCACCTTTTTGGGCAAACCCGACACTGTTGCTCTCTTTTCTCCCTTCTTCCTCCTCGTTCCTCGTCATTCATAGACAACTGCCTAATACACGTGCCAATGGAGATGACCGAAAGTAGAAAAACCTACATGAAAAATTATCCCAAAATCTCGTATTTTATACTTTTGTACGTGCTTACATTTTCATATCATGGAATTTGACACTCGTCGTTTAGATCATGTTGCATGGTTAAACGTCCTATGCAACATGGTCAGGTATACTCCCGAGCGAGTAACTTTCACTTTAAGTATTTGATTACTATCTTATCTTCAGTATTGCTTTAATTCATATGTGATATCGACATATTCATGTACCTCTCATTTACTCGGGTATCAAAATTCATGTATTTTGTGATTGTTTTTTTTAAAAAAACTTTAATTATATTAGATTAGCAATAATTGATATCTAATAACGACATATATAAGTTAATAGGGACGCTCATCAAACAAAAGTTTCTTTTTTTAGATATTTATAATAAAAATCAATAATAGCGGTTGTTTCACCTAACGCTGGCTAAATACAGCTCTACTTCAAGGTGGTCGAGTTGAATTTAATCGGATCACAATAAAAATAAATTTAAGAAATATGGTTATAAGTCACGTTTTTATGTTTAGTGTTTTTTTATTGGATAATATCGAGTTTATATTTTGGTCCACTCAAGACGACAATTTTGTTACGAAAAGAATTAACATTCTCCCTAATGAATACGTGGAAAATAATTTTATATTTTAAATTTAAAAAAATGTTATTTAAATTAATATGGCATATATTTTTAATATTATTAATTTAAAAAAAGAAAAAAAAAAGAAAAAAAAGAAAAGCCTAAATCAAGAGGAAGATAATGGTTAAGAATGCAAAAATCTCTAAAAACAACTCTCTCGTGACTCGCACGTGTTCCACGCACCTTCTTCCCCACGCCGTTAACTCCTCCGTTTCAGCAGCTCGGCGGCGCCATCGCCGTCGGCAATTCTCTTATATATAAGGGATATATTCGAGTCGCTGAGGCTGCGCGGGAGAGAAAGAAGGTTTACTGCGGGTGCCATGGCGGCCGAGGATATGGAGAATGGTGAGTTTTACTTGAGATATTATGTAGGGCACAAAGGAAAATTTGGGCACGAGTTCTTGGAGTTCGAATTCCGACCTGATGGCAAGCTTCGCTACGCTAACAACTCCAATTACAAGAACGACACGATGATTCGCAAGGAAGTTTACCTCACCCCTGCTGTCCTCCGGGAATGCCGTCGAATAATCTCCGATAGCGAGGTTAGGGTTTCCTTTGCATCACTATTTTTAGGGTTTTCTTTTGTTTACTTTGAGATTATGTTTCTCTGCTGCATTGCTTCTGTTTGTTTTGCGGCTTCTTTTTCTCCTCTACTTTTGAAATACTCTATGAACATAGCAATATCGGCTTTTCATCTTCACCAGCCAACCCTGACCCCCCTTAGAATCTTCGGCTTTTCAATATCGACTACTTTTTTCCTTCATGAAATCCATTTGACAATGTTTCTTTAAGAAGATATTCAGCTTATCCCAAATAGTTACCCACCCTGCTTTGTTGAATTGAACTAGAATGCGGATATACATTATCTTCCACCCGTGCTAGCCAAAATCTTGTGTTTCACATGTCATCGCCAATCTATCTTGCATATAAAAGCTTCAATGGATCGGATTATGCATCCAATCAACCGTAGATTTCTCGATCCAAATGAGATGGGCTAATTCAATAGGTAGCGAATCTTTTCTATCCAGTTCCTCTATGAAAAATGATAATTTCCAAACCATTTAAAGTAAATTTTATTCTGAATACAACGGTTGCTTAAATCCATAATGCTTGAGCACAAAGAAACTTGGAAGAGCTGAACTGGAAAAAGGAAGGAAATACGCTTGAACACTTAATTGGTCAGAGTTGATCAGGGAGAAAATCCTTAAAGACTTAAAATATACTCACTCAGATGCAAAGATTCCTCATTTTTAACAGTGGTATAATGTTGTTTGACCTTAGGCTGAAGGGAAATTAAAAAGGATTCACAACTTTATGGAAATTGTTGAGTTTGGCAGCGTTGTCACTTGAAAAGGGAGCATGTTATTGTCAAGTTTACGACGAGTGATGTGAATAGTGTCATTATCAACAATGAATCTTTAGAGGCTACCATCTCAGAAGCCTTTGTCAAGTGAACTATTTAGAGTAGCCACCTCTTAGGCGAAATGGAAGGCAAAGGGGTGACCTTGCTTAAGACGTCTTGAAACTTTAATCTAAAACCTCTCAGTTTTCCATTACGGAAGAGCAAAAAAGTACTGCAACCCCATTAGAACGTGCTCTTTGATGCTGTTCTAATTCTTCAAGATTCCTCCAGTAGCCATTCAGGCTGTGAATTTTGTCGAGGCCAAAACTATTAAGTGCGACTTTCTTTCATGCCATAGGCACTCCAAACAAGGAATGGGCTCCACAGGTGAAAGGGATCCTTTTCTTATTATCATCAAGCATATGGGACAACTAATCTAATTAGATTTAAGGGGGGAGATATTACTAAAGATATTTGGTTGCTTGTAGATTCGTAGCGAATTATTGTTTAGAATTAAAAGGCATTGGCCCCATTTTAAATTTCCTGTTTTCAACGGATTGGAAAATGGTTCAAAGTGGTGTGAAGAATTCTTCAACTCTTGAAAGATGAAGTTTGATATTCTGTACTTATTTAACAAAAAATCAGTTGATCCCTAATGTTGGTGACCAATTGAAATCACCATTTTACGAAGGAAGATCAATCAAAGAAAGGCCACCAATAAACTTATTGAAGTATCAACAATGCACCATCTAGTAATAATGATGATCTCTTGTGACTCCATCTAGTAATAATGAAGTCATCACCAATGCACCACCCCTTGCACTATAGTTAGAAAGAGCCTCAAGCTGTCTCAAAAATAATATTTCAAAAGACTCTTACCTCATTAGACTAATTAAAAAAAATTCTGATGTTCATATGTTGTTGTTGAATTCGGGTTCTCATAGATCTGATCTATCACCCCTTTTTTCCAAGCTATGCAAAAGAGGATGAGATTATTTTACTATTTGAATTTTGAGCGTCTTCAATTATTTTCTTCCTTTTTGAATAAAATGTTACGTTCCCAATGCGATTGAGACGAGCCTTCTTTGTTCCTCCTGTATTTTCTTTCTCCTTGATGTATTTGACAAAGAGCGTTTTGAAATTGAATCTGTTTGTCAGTTGCCTCAAAATGCTTTATTTTATCTCCTTTTGGAACTTGTCTCTGTTCAGATTATGAAGGAAGATGACAATAATTGGCCAGAACCCGATCGGGTTGGACGACAGGAGCTGGAGATTGTGATGGGAAACGAGCATATCTCCTTTACTACATCTAAGATTGGATCTCTTGTTGATGTGCAAAGCAGCAAGGATCCTGAAGGATTGCGGATATTCTATTATCTTGTTCAGGTAAAGCTTAATTCTGTGTGTAGATTACTTAAACATGGAAGGTTTCTATCTGCCTTTTAGACCGTCTCTGTCTCTAGATTCTTGAGTATTACATGCATTATATCTTTATACGCATGACATTATCAAGCTTAGATCATATTTGTGTTTTCTTTGGCTGTAGGATCTGAAATGCTTTGTATTTTCTCTCATTTCACTCCACTACAAGATCAAGCCAATTTAAAGACGGCCCCAAATTCCTAGTGTGCAATCTGAGGAACATGTACTTCTCCTAACTGTGAAATCTTATTTTGGGCATTTTTTGAACTGCAACATTCGGGATTCTGAATCTTTATTGTTTTTAGAGTTCTCTCTTCTGGATTTCATGTACATGCAAACGATGGGCGTTGTACAACCTTTATTTTAATTAGAATATCTCCGGGATGGATAGAATGCGGAGAGATGGCATGTGCATGCTTTCTTTTTTAGCTTAAAATATGCTTTCCTTTCATGAAACTGTGATTAAATTTAGTTTCCTAATTAAAATTTGGATTATGAATGCCGCATCACACATATTCTCGCAAGTCAGCGAATCAAACTTAGTTCGTGGGCGGCACGAGTGTCTTTCTCTGTGGCCTCTACCACTGTTTGGGACTTGTACGCCTCAAAATTACAAGAAAAGTAAATAGGGACATACAACTACTGGTCACACACCTTGCAAAAGCATGATCGTGGCATTCCTCCCCGTGCCTCCCTAATTGTTTGACATCCTTGTCAACTCACTGTGCTCAAACTCAACAGTATGAACAACACACGTTGCGTGTCTCTTTCACTTTACATGGAACTCTTGTACCTCTCTTGTTAGGTTGTTGACTCATTGCATCTTCTCAATTAAGATCTCTTTGGCTTCTTTCTTGACGGTGTTTTTCATTATTTGACAGGTCTAAATGTCTCGTTGCGATTGATATCAACAAAGTTAGGATGATAGTGTTGATAGTGTTTCAAAATATATACATGGAGTGCAAGGTGAATTTTCATCCAATAGTGAAGTTGAATTCCATACAATATCTTGTTAACTTTCTGAACGCCTTCAAATGAACTTTCATATTTCCATACCAAGTGTTACCCTTTACTTCCTTGGAACTCAAGTTGCTCGGTCTTAGTTTGATAAGTAGTTAGCCTCCCATTTGGAACTGTTTTTTTATCCACCATTTTTCATACGTTCGGAGTTTTTTCTAATAGGCTTGAGTTACCTTGGACGTTCATTTCACTCTTTGGTGAAGTTGTAAATCTAAG